AATTGTGTACATGTGTTTGTGTCTGATTACTATCTGCTTCCTATAGTTTTTCTAAATGTAATTTTGTCTCTTAGGTCTTTCGTGTCTCTTATCATTAGATATTAGTGGGATTGAATACTAAACTTCCTGGAAATCTGTTTAAATGAGACTTGACAGTCTGAGTCTTGGCTGAGAGACCTACTCTAATTTTGGAGTAAAGACTTCCTGTCATCCATTTTTATCTTTTCAGGGATTTGGGATTTCATTTCAAATAGGTAAGCCACATAGCAGATGACTGGCACATACTCTGCTTAGAAATGTTACTATAAAACCAAGCATATTTTATTAAGCATTTGTAGAAAACCAGTGGTTAGGAAACTGAAAAGCTAGGAGAAAAATTTCTATGTTTAAAAGTGATGAAGGGTTGGTGAGATGGCTCGGTGGATAAAGGCACTTGCTGCAAAGGCTGGTGACCTGAGTTTGACCATTGGAACTAAGGTAAACATGGAAGGAGAGAAGTGATTTCACAAAGTTGTCCTTTGAACTCAACACCCTTGCTGTGGCACACAGTCCCCCACCCCATTAAATAAAAATTTAAGAAGTGATGTGGAGCAAAAAGTTAATATAAATAAAGTATTTGGAACTAAAATGCAAATATCCCATTTTATTTGTGTGTATTATATAAAGCTCTACTTAAGCTACATTTACTTTAAAACCTTAAAAGAACAATGTCTTCTGTTCTTAAACAAGAACAATAGAAAAGTAACTAGCAAATAACTTTGTAAGACTAATCAGTCCAGGAACTGTGAATTGGTTATTCTAAGAGGAACTGCAAGCAAGACCTAATAAGAAATTTCTCTTTGTTGCAATAAAAAAATAAACATCGATTCAGAAGAAAACATTAGAAGCCATAGGATAAGGTCCTGGAGAAGTTACTTAGGAACAAAAATATAAGGGTTATTAAAGGTAACTACTGCCCTCTAGTGAGCCAGTTATGTAATTGTAGAGGAACCACTAGGCCCCTGTTCCTGCTTCATTCTTTTCAGAATTACTCCAGCACTGTTCTTTTAAGACTTAGAGGAACATATGCAAGACAAACGTATCAACTCTGCAGCTTAAGTGAAATGAGGTGGAAATAGCAACTGCTCTAAAGATAGCTTAAGAACGGAACCTACACCTTTGGAGGCTGAAATCCAACCAGCTGGCACTTAATGGAGATAAACAGTCACTTTCACTCTTGAAAAAAACAAAGCAGAAGAATCAGAGTCACAGAAACCAAACATACCGTAGAAGGACGAGCTGAGAGGATTCAAGGGTAATGCGAATGAGACGGAGCTGGTATATGAATTAGCACTGTGGAGATCAAAGGTATACAAACTGAAGCCTCTTTTTTTGGGGAAAACTTACCAGGATAAGAAAAAGAATGCTATATTCAAACCTGAAGAACTGCTGATAGCCTGACACAGAGAAGACACTGGGAGGCAGGTTTGTTGCTCCAAAGCTGCCACTAAGAAGCAGCACAGAACCCAGCAGAGGGCCAGTGAGCTGCTCAGTGGGCAGGGTGCTTCTGCAATTGCATTTCTGGGACCCACATGGTGGAAGAGAAGAATTTACTCCTCAAGTTGTTCTCTGACCATCATACACGCACTGTGGCATATGTATGCCTACATATACAGGCAGATACACACATACACAAATAAATGAATACACGTTAAAAGAAACTGAAAGATCATTTGGTAGTTTGTGAAAACTTTCAGAAACTATTGGAAAAATGACTGAATTAGCTCATGGGTTGGCAAACTACAGCCTGTGGCGCAATCTGTTGTGTGCTTCTTTGTATGAATAAAGTTTTATAGGATACAGGTCTGGTCATTCACTGATGTACTATTTGACAAGGCAGTTAGTGGATTATAATAAGGAAAAAAAAGTCATCAGAATTCTTTCCCTTTAGGTAGATGTGGTGGCACAGGCCTGTAGTCCTCAAGAGGCTAAGGCAGGAGGATCATGAGTTTTACATCAGTCTAGGCTATCTAGGGTAGACCCTGTCTCAAAAACAAAATCTAACAACACCCCTTAACGAAATTCCTTTCCATACCAGAGCAGTAAAGGGAGTAGAATTATCAAGAGGAAGAAGGTTCCTATTTTCTCCTTTACATGGTTTGGTTCACTCCCTAGAGCCGGCTGAATTTTCTTTGCCAGCTTGTGTAGCAGATATAGCAGCTAACAATCTGACACCTGCTGCCTTCGCTTCCACTCACGGCTCCCTCAGCTAGAGGACAATGTAGGGGAACAGGTATGCAGGCTCCAGCGGTCCCCTGGGAGAACCACAAAAATCAAACCCAGTCACTTCACCAGTTAAGATTTTTTTTCAGCTTACTGTGATTTGTTAGGAAATGGAAGAATCTCTCTTTAGTAAGAGTGAGCAGTAATCTATCCAATCATCATATATGTGGTGTATGACAACACTGCAAGAAAACTGTGGTGATGGGCAGTCTGCATGAGGGAGCACCAGCCACAAGGACTGACCTGTGACAATGAGACTGAGGAGCTAAAGTAGCCACACATGGCTACTAGCTACTACTTTGAACAGAACAGGCAAGAAAGGATATTTTTGTGGCTAAGTCTTTTTTTGGACTTGTTTCAATTTTATGTGTCTGAGAGTTTTGCCTGCATGTAAGTGCACCCGTGTCATGCAGAGCCCACAGAGGCCAGAAGAGGGCATCAAAGCCTTTGGAATTGGAGTTACAGATGATTGTTAGCTGCTATATGGGTGTTGGAAACCAAACTTGGGCCCTCTGAAAGACCCAGTGCTCTTAACTGCTGAGATATCTCTCCAGGCCCTAGAGCTAAATCTTTTAAGGAGATTAAGTAATTTAAAAAAATTATTTATTATTATTTTATGTGTATGAGTGTACTGCCTGCATGTATGTGAGTGCACCCATGTTGTGCAATGCTGTGGAGGTCAGAAGAGGGCTTCAGATTCCCCTGGAATTGGAGTTAAGGACAGTTCATAGCCGCCATGTGGGTGCTGGGAATCGAACCTGGGTCCTCTGCAAGAGCAGTCAGTGCTCTTAACCTCTGAGCCATCTCTCCAGCCCCGAGGAGATTAAGTCATATTTTAAAAAATAAGTGGGCCTACAAGATGGCTCAGCAGGTACAAGTGTTTGTCAGGAATGCCTTACAACCCATGTAGAGATGGAAAGAAAGAATTGATTCTACAAAGTTTTCCTCTGTCCTCCACACATGTACCATGACACTTGAGTGTCTCACCACCACAATAAATAAAATTAAATTTCAAATGAAAGAAAGAACTTTTGTTCTTTTTTTTTTTTTTTTTAAATGTGTATGAGTGTATTGCCTGCATGTATGTGAGTACACCTGTGTCGTGCAATGCCTTGGCAGTCAGAAGAGGGCTTTAGATTCCCCTGGAACTGGAGTTAAGGACGGTTCATAGTCGCCATGTGGATGCTGGGAATCGAATCCGGGTCCTCTGCAAGAGCAGTCAGTGCTCCTAACTGCTGGGCCATCTCTCTAGCTCCAACTTTGTCTTTCTTTTTTTTTTTTTGTCTTTTTTGAGACAGGATCTCCCTGTATCCCCAGCTGTCCTAGAACTCACTATGTAGACCAAGCTGGCCTTGAACTCAAAGAGATCCACCTGCCTCTGTCTCCTGAGTGCTGGGATTAAAGGTGTGCACCACCATAAAAAGTAAGAAATATCTGCCAGAAATAAAGGGGAGTGGGAATGGGTGATGGTGTGAGGAGAAACCCTTCTCAGAGTTTGAAATTAAATATTTCTAGGAAGCTATACAGTTTCTGTATTACAAAACTTTCTGGTTTTAGCTTTATATGATTACTTTTTTTATTGTTTGGTTTGGGGCTAAATAGTATATTAACACTATTTTAGTGAATGTATAAGAATACTGGGCTCTACACTTGATTGTCTCATTGTAGAGCTTTATTTATTGGTCTTCTGGCCCTCCATTTGTTGCCTTACTTTTCTCTCTTAAATATCTGTGTTGCTATCCTTAACCAGAACCCTCACATGTAATTTTACTATTTTCTTGGAAAAACTGTCTGATAGGTTGTGCTGTCTTGTATATGAAACATTCTTTATTCCTGTTCTGTAGATAGGGCTACTATAGGTGTCTCTGATTTCATTTCAGTCATGATTAACATAGGTAGCACTCTTACGCATGGGGAATTACCCATGACACATTTCTACTTCCTGTGTCAGGTGTTTCTCCCATCTGGGGGGCTGCTGATTACATGGATGGCATTCATGGCCCTCTTGACCTATACCCACTTTGGTGACTTATACATGTATCTTCTCAGGGTGAGAGTGAGGAGATCTGAGGGCAGAGGCCACAACCCTCCCCCCACCAAGATTCTGTGATTCAGTTTCATTTTACATCTTACCTACATATCTCAGGACATGCTTTTAACTAAAAACTGAACCAGGAAGGAGACACAAGCCTATAATCTCAACTACTCAGGGGGGTTGGGCAGAAAGATCACAAATGCCAGACTTGCCTATGATACAGACTGAGATCAAGGCCAGTCTTGGCAACTTACTGAGCTCATATCTCAAAATAAAAAATAAAGAAAGCTTGGGCATAAAGCTTAGTGGTATAGTGGTTGCACAAGGCTCTAGGTTCAATCCTCAGTATCACAAAAATAAGCAAGCAAGCAAATAAATAGAGAAAAGATGAGCTGTGCTTTTAAATAAAAGACTTTGCCAAATATGCATAATAAATACTAAAACATTGGTAAAAGCTAAGCAGTTAGAAATCAAGAAACAGACGGCTAGAATATTAGACATTAGTGATTGTTTCAGAATGATTATCTCTTCTGTGGCACTATAATTTTATATAGGAATTTCATGTCAACGAAACAAAATAGAACAAAACAAAGGGGGAAAAATACATAAAAACCTTGATTTTTAAACGAAGTAAGTTCTTAAATTTTCCTGGAAAATCCATGCTGTTGACTGTATGTCACCTGCACCGTATTCTTATACTCACAGGCCAAGGCTGTAGATCAGCTAGTCCCTTTTCTAACTTTTCAACATCTGGGAACTTTGTGGCTCCATCAGCATCTGCCATGAGGATCTTTTCACCTCGAGAACTGAACACCCCCTGTATTTAAAGATTTCAGACAAAAGAAAATTGCTTAGATTTATGGTTAAATTCAGTGACATTTTGGTTCATTCTGTTTTATCTAAGATAGCTGAGTGAAATATTATCAGGTATAATGTGGTGGCAGAAGGAGGCTGAAATTCAATGCTAAGATGGACAGGATGTCCCAAAACGTACCTACTGTCCACTTCATTATTGTAAAAAGCTTTGAGGTTATGTTAATACTTTGGAAATGATTAAGATAATAAAATAGACTTGGATAAATGAAAGGTAATTTGTATCGCTATCAATAAAAAAGCCAAATGCTATCATACCCATTCCACATATCCTGTAATAAGTGCTTACATGGCACCACAGGCAGCTTAAGCCATGCATAAAAGAACATGGGTAGGGACTGGAGACATGGCTCAGCAGTTAAGAGCACTGGCTGCTCCTGCAGAGGACCCAGGTTTGCTTCCCAGCACACACATGCTGGCTAACAACTGTCCATAACTCCAGTTCAGGGAATCTGACCTCCACAGACATTGCACACTTACATACATGGAGGCAAAATACTCATACACATAAAAAAAAATGACTTGGACAAATTGAACAAAAATAACAAATACAAGCTGGGTGTGCTGGGACACATCTGTAATCCCTTACTTAGGAGGAAGAAGCAGGAGGATTTTGAATTTGAAGGCTCATATTCTTGTTGTGAAATGTATCATATGATTTTAGTATCTTTTTTTTTTTTTTTTAATGTTTATGTTTTTAAGGGTCTCCTGGTAGCCCCAGCTGGCCTGGAACTTGCTTTGTAGACCAGGCTGGCCTTAAACTCACAGAGATTCACCTGCCTCTGCCTCCAAAGTGCTGGGATTAAAGGCACCACCAAGCCGGGCAAGATTTTAGTATTCTTTATTATGGTGTTGAAGATATTTTAAATTAGTTGCTGAACAGGGAAAATGGAATGTCACTAAAACTTAGGGCATGTTCAAATATTACTTGATGCCATTTGAGGCATCTGATATTTAGTAAAATTATGCCAATCGATTTTGAATAGGTCTTTAATGCAAATAACAGCTCTACAAACATATACATTATACTGAAATAAATTGCTTATTAACTTAATTTCTATGGGGTATCTGAGTGAATTCATTTTTTTCTTAAGCACATATTTATGGTTTGACACAATAATATACTGCTTTGATAAGCACTTAACTATGACTGTTGATATGACACATGTAAATGTAAAGAGAAGTCTGATTATTGATTTTGTGGTATAACAGGCCAGGCTGTCAGTATGGAGTCCATTCTCCCATCAGCAGATCCACTTCTACTGACCTGTACTATCCCACAAGCCCTCTCCTCTTCTACTATGTCACTACCACAGCCCAAATAAACTAAACATGGAACACTACCACACTGGTTGATCCTGACAAGTTTTCTCAAGTTTTACTCTTGGTAGAGTCTCAGTGCTCCTAGGGAAGTGGGAGGAGGGCAAGAGAGGACTGTAGGGGATGAGTGATCAATGTACATTATATATGTATGAAATTGTATAATGAAACACCTTATTTTGTACAACACATGCTAATCATTTTTTAAAAGAGCAGAAATAAAGAAGTCAAAGCTCTGGCCTAAAATTCACTATCTGTACTCATGTGCCCCTCAGCCTCCTCTCTAAATCAAGCCATGTGCACCTTCTGTGGCAGGCCTTTGTTGTGGCATGCTCTTTCAGATGTGTGCTTTGGTCATGTTTTCCCCCTGCAAAGCTTCCCATGTCTGTAAGGATAATTCCAAAGCCTCCTCTGTTCACTCATTCAGATTTAACCTCTGTAGGCAGTCTGCTTTTCTTACAGGAGGGTGGCACCTACACTGGGCACAAGCTTCTCTTACATCACACCTCTTCAGACAACTGTTTCCCCAACATTGTGAAATCCTTAAGGACAGCATGGACATCCTTTAGCCCCGTATCTCGAATACAGTGTGTTGGCTGAATAAACGGACAAATGGAGGATTAATGATAATAACCATGACATTGCAATCCCCTATTCTCTTTCCACAGAAATGCTGTCCCAAGAGCTCTACTACAGAGCTACACTGCAGCCACAGTCCTCTTCTCATTTCTGTTCTGTGCTCATGTGAGAGTGAGCTTGCTGTTTCTAGTAGGGCTCCCAAATTCCTACTTCTTTGCTGACTGGGTAGCAGTGGACTTCAGAGCTGAACTAACCTGATCCTCCTCTTGGCATTTTTTTTCCTTTTCCTTTTTCTTAAATTAAAAAAAAAAAAATGTTTAAATGATATTTTTATTAATTCTTTGAGAATTTCATACAATGTATTTTGATCATATTCACCCCCATCTCCTCCTGGATCCACCCCCACCTTCTTATCCCAACCCCAAATTTAAATTGTTTTTTGAGATAAGGTGTTGCTATGTAGCCCAGACTGCCTTGGACTTGTGATCCTTCTACTCAGTGCCCTAAGCCTGAGATTATGACACGTACCACGACACCAGCTCTGTTTTGACACAGGGTCTCTCCTGTAGCCCTAGGTAGCCTACAACTTGCTATGTAGACCAGACTAGACTCAATCTCATAGATATCCACTGCCTCTGCCTTCCGAGTGCTGAGATTAAAGGCATGGATCACTATGCCCAGCTTGGACTCTACCTTAAAAAAAATGCTGGTTTAAGATTTATTTCATGTTTATGTATGTGCACCTTGTATGGAGGCCAGAACATCATGGTGGATCCCCTGGAACTACAGTTACAGGTGGTTGTTAGCTGCCATGTAGGTGCTGGAAACTGAACCCAGGTCCTCTGCAAGGGCAGTCAGTGCTCTTAACCACTAAGTCATCTCTCCAGTCTGACTGTACCTTTTAGTAGCTATGTAATTTTGAGTAAGTTATGTTACCTATCCAAGCCTAACGCTTCTCACCTGTATAATCAAAACGACATAAGCATGGAATATTGTGGGATTGCATCCCATAATTATTTCAGGTTAATTTACTTTCCAGCTCAACATAAGTAGCCAGAAAGCAGAACCAGTGTTTAGCATCACTGAAGCCCAGGCTCGAGTGACATCTCAGTTGTGAGGTTGCTACTTTTCCCGTGGCTACCGCAGCTGATTTCCCACCTGAGAACCACACAACACAGGTCTCAAAGCTTCTTTCTTTTGAAAGGAACCTTGACTTTGTCAAGAATAAAAATAGTAGAAAAAAAAAATTCTTAGCAGGCATGGTGACGCAACCCCAGCACTTGAGAGGCTGAAGCAGAGGACTGCTATGAGCTCCAGGTCAGCCTGGGCTTCAGAGTAAGACTCTGTCTCAAACACACAGCAACCAAAAAAACCCCCTCAAAAATAAAAAACCAGGTGATGCATGCCTTTTATCTCAGCACTCAGAAGGCACACGTGTGCAGATCTCTGTGAGACTGTGGCCAGCCTGGTCTACACAGTGTATTCCAGGCAAGCTGGAGTGACAGGAGACCCTGTCTCAAAAAGACAAAAATAAATAAATAAAAAGAAACCAAAAAAGAAAGAATAAACAATTTTCAGCCTTGGTAAGAAATCGGGATGGATCTTTCCTGGGTGGTTCCCACAGCCTGCAGGGCCTTGACTCCCCCAGCCTCATTCACCCTCCCAGCTCCCCTCCTAGTCTGGGTACTGCCCCATTTCTTGTCTTGGAACTACAGACTCCTGGACTGACCTCTAGGCCAAGAATCCCCACTGGGGGATTCTTTGCATACAGACCAACCCAATCCCTCCCTGCAGGCCCCAGGGAACCTCTGGGCCTGGTCCCACCCTCACCTCCCTTCGCTTTCCTGGGCTGCAGAGCCTCCCTTGTCCTGGTGCCAGCACCTTTCCTGGGTAAGTCCAGCAGCGCCCACCCCGCCTTGACTCCCCCAGCCTCATTCACCCTCCCAATTACCCTGCCCTGTCTCTCCTCTTAACCTGGATACTGGCCCATTTCCTGTCTTGGTAGCCCAACACTGGGGCTGACCTCTCTTCTCAGAACCATCACTGCTTCCTGATCCTTTGCATCCAGACCAACCTACTTCCTCCCTGCAGTCCCCAGGAGCCCTCTGGGCCCAGTCCCGCCCCCACATACCTTTGCTTCCCTGGGTAGCTCAGCCACCAGCTTTCTGGTGCTAGCATCTTTCCTGGGTGGGTCCCACAGCCTGCTGCACCTTGACTCCCTCAGCCTCATTCACCCTCCCAACTCCCCTCCTACCCTGGGTTCTGGCCCATTTCTTGTCTTGGCACCCCAGACCCCTGGACTGACCTCATGGCTCAGAATCCCCACTGCTTCCTGATCCTTTACATTCAGACTAACCCAGTTCCTCCTAGTAGTTCTCAGGAGACCTCAGGGCCTCTTCCCGTCCCCACCTCCCTTTGCATCCCTGGGTGGCACAGCCACCAGCTTGCTGAGACCAGCATCTTTCCTAGGCCCTACTCCCAGGTCAGCCTAGCCCCCAAATTCCTGAGGGCAGCATCTTTTCTGGAGGGATCCAGACCTTAGGAGAAAACCTGAGAGCATCTGATCCTCATCTGACTTGGGCCTCTGTGGGAACTCCTAAAGATGAAAGCAATTAGGCCACTCCAATATAAAATCAAAAGAGAGAACCTGAAGCCTAGACCAACCAGCTTTTCATGCCCAACAAGTAAACCACAAAGCACACAAAGTTTACAAAAAGAAGCAGACCTAAACTCAACAAAGGAAGGCTTGAGTCTCACACAAGAATCAGAAACTACAAAAGAAATTCACATGTCAAAATCACAGAGAAAAAAGTAATAACATGAAAAACCACAATAATATATCTCCACCAAGTACCAATAGTCCTCTAGAAGAGTACATTGAGAGCCCCCTTGACATAACACAGGACATGAAATGCAAAAGAACAATTATAAACATGATAAAAGAATTCAGTGAATTTAAAGAACACACAAAGAAATCAAAGAACTGAAAGAAGATAGGGATAAACTTCTGAATGAATTCAGAAGAGTTAGAAATATTGAAGAATA